GATATAATTTTAAAAATAAAATTTAATACATTTTTATAAATTTAAAATAATTTCTTATTTAAAATTGGATATATGTAACAAATTTATATATATTTTTAAAGTTATGTGTAGTTTATCCATAAATTTTAAAATTATGAAATCTTTCTCATGTAGGTATATCGGTACTAGATTTAATAAGTTAAATGAACACATGAGATACTTGTTGTTAAGAGAAGAACATGGTATAAAAAATATACAGAGAAAAATAGTAGTGCCTACTCATCGATATATCATGTGGATTAATAGTTACAAGCGCATATTTTGGATCATAATGTAAATCAGTAACACAAATGTATTTGAATATATTATTATTACTATTATTGGATTTTGATCAGATTTAGCATTCAATAAAAGCTTTGTATAAAAACGCCCCATACCATGAATTTTATCACAGAGAACGTCCTTAAAAAAGGGACATAGGTATTATTCTCTGAACATTTTTAAGACGCCCCTTGAAAGTCTGAGTTATAGGGAACTGCGTTTAAAATTTAGTAAAAATTTGAGATTTAATTAATATAATTAGTTAATATAATAATCCATTTAGATAGAACATTATTTTTTTAATTTATTATTTTTTATGCTCTTATTAACAATTTATACATTTTGACACTTTTATGTAGACATCTCCATTTGGAATTATGCCAACTTACTCGTGAATTAAATGCAATATTTGAAATACCGATAACTATATTAACAACAGCTTATGTGACATATGTGATAAGAGCATTTCGTTATATCTTTATACATATAATGATAGACAATGACGTCGAGTTATTGGATTTTCTTAACTTTATTGTTTGGATGCTCTTATATGCAACTAGACTTTTTTGCTTAAATTATGTGTGCGAAAGTGTTAGTGTCAAGGTAAATCCACATATTATTTTAAATATACACATTCCGCGACCAGAAGTTTGGAAAGATTTTTGTTTTTTTTCACGTTTTACAAAAAATTAAATATCTCAATTAGAAAATTATAAATAAGTTTTCACGTAAAGCAGAAAGGGCTTTAAATCTATAGTTTGATGAAATATGGTCGGACAAAATTTACTATAAAAATATTTTAAAATGGACTTTCTAAATTTTTAAATGTTTCTAGAAAAAAATTGATACGATAACTTGTTGCAAAGATGTCAAACTTTTTTATAGTGTAAAATTTTATTGTGTATATTTTTTAAAATTGACAGTCGAAAGTTTTTTAAAACTTTTGAAAAATATTTATCAAGAAAAAAATATTTAGCAAATCAAGCACATTATGTTGTAACTATATTTAATTTGTAATATTTTTCCCTTTTTTTTTAGAGAAAGTAAGTTTACACAATAAAATTTACGTAATAAATAATTTAATAACTGTGTAAAAAATCTTATATTACCTTTTCTAAATAGTATTTTAAAGCGTAGAAAACCTATTTTAAATTTTGTCCAATGTTAATTTTACTGAACTGGAGTGCTTCAAAGAAACAAAAATATTGCAAAAAATAATCTTCTAAAATAATTTTCAATTTTTTGTAATTTAGAAACAAAAGATTATAGAAAAAAATTTAAGTAGATTTAGAGCTTTATCTTTGAGCTATAAAATGTATGGTCAAAAACTTCTTTTTTTTCACTGAGATATACATATAATTTTTTGTGAGAGACAACAAAAGTGTTACCAAAATTTCAAAAAAGTATCCAA